TTACTGAGCCGCTCTGTTAAGTTGGGCTTTGTAGCTGGTCCAGGCTGTCAGCCTACTTTGCTGTCATGAGCAGGCCTGGCCAGAGCCTAGCTCACTTCTTCCAGCCTGGGTGCTTTTTTAAGTTAGGGTAGCTGGTACCCAGAACTATATGCTTTAAAATGAAGAAGGGGAAGCTCAAGGGCAGGAGAAGAGGAACTTCTTTAAATAGGTGTCTTCAAGTATTTGAAAGATTGCCATGTAGGAAAATTATTGGACTTGTTCCGTATGGCCCTAGAAGTTAGAACCAAGACTCTAACAAGGTTGAGGCCACTAAGTCACTAGGTGAAAAAGAACCTTCCTTACCCCAGCTCATATCGAACAGCATTTGCCAAAGACAGAAACGAATTCCTTCCGGGAGCCCTTCATTATGGAAGGGATTCTGGCATTGGCTTGGTGAGCAGATCTAAGTTTTGTTGCTTTGTTTCCATTGCAACATGGATAAAAGATAGTATTTACTTGGGTGGCATTTGCATGTGTTACCACACATGCTGATGTGGTCACTTGCCAATCACGAGTGACCTTCGATCCAGCTCCTTTCCTCGTCTTCAGGGACTGTCAGGGAGAGCAGTTTTATTATATCAATATGCTCAAATCTACTCTGATTTTTTAAAAGTTAACTCAATCACTGACTAGACATTTAATGATTATTATATATTAGATACTGTGATTCATTCTATGCTCAGTACTTTTAACGGTTACATTTAACCAAGTCCTTTCGTTATTATACTTATGACCTGGAGGTCACAGACATTGTAGAAAGGGTTCAAGTATCAACTGGGTTTGATTTGTAGATCATCTTTAAGTTTCTTTTAAATTTAAGAATCCTTAAGTGAGCGTGATTCTAGTCTCACAGTGAGTGGATAACCTGTCTCCAAGTATAGTTTTTGAAAGTCAAACATGGATTTGGAGTTGGGTTACTCAAGTGAGGGTTACCTAGTCCCTGTGTTTATCTACCCAGATAGCAGGCAGCTTTGCTGTCAATATCCTCGCTGCTTCCCTAGAAGGGGCTCTAAAGGTATAACTTTAACAAATAAAATAAAATAAACAAACAACCAAAAAAAAACCAACCCAGAAAAAAAACACTCCTCTTCCTACACCTCTTCTCACCAATGCCAGCTGCGGGTTGGGTCAGGCCATCTGTCAGGTGCATAACCCAGCCCTCAGGGCCCCAGTGGCCCAGAAATTGAACTGTATGTCCGTTTCTCTGAGTGGCTGTAGCTAGAACAAGCCTTCACGTGAGCAGGCCAAATGCATCATGAATTATCAGAGTTCACTTGTTTGAGCCTTCCTCTGAATGTCATCATCTGTGTTAAGAACCTGATAACAGTCCTAATGAAAACTCTGTCAGTGAACTAGGTACGGAAGACACGGTGCTGAATTTGCCGTTCCACTCACATAGTATGTGCAGGGAGGGGGGGGGGCATATTGGAGTAGACACCATGCTTCCCAAGTCCTACGGTTCCATTCAGTGGAAAAAGAAAGCAACATGGACAGCATAGGATTTCTATTTGATTGGGTCAGTCATCGTTTGCAGTGACTAACTGCTGTCCACGTAGACATAGTCCCGGGTGTGAAAGGAGGTCTGAAAAGGCACTTGGTCCATGCAGAATGACTCTCTGGTTGTCTTCAGTTCAAACACGATGGCTGGCAGTGGATGGAGCCCAGTGATCGCGCTTCGCGGCTATGACTGCTGTGATTCCAGCTAGACTCACCCTGGGGTTTGCCATATTTCTTTCAGATTGCTCTGGAAAATGACAGACATTACAATGCTCACATTTCTTGGAGTTTCTTTTTGGTAGCAGCTTTATTGAGACAGAATTCACATGCCATACAGTTCACCAATTTAAAGTGGACAGTTTAATGGACAGAGTTGTACAGCCATCCCACAGTCCATACCTCAGAAAGCAGCTCTGCCCCCCTTAGTTCTCATCCCCGTCTCCTGTCCCCCGAGGCAACCACTAATCCACTTTCTATCTGCCTGCCCATTTTGTACATTTCACGTCCGTGGAATCAGAGAGTATTTGGCCTTTTATGTGACTAGCTTTTTTTCACTCAGCATGTTTTCAAGGTTCATCCCCATTGTAACATGAGTCAGTGCTTCATTCCATCTAAAAGGCCACATACTATTCTTTGATATGGATATACCCCCATTTTGTATGTTTATTCACCAGTTGATGGATATATGTACTGTATCCACTTTGGGGCCAATATGAATAATGCCACATTGAGCATCCATACACAAGTTTCTGTATGAACGTATGTTTTCATTTCCCTTGGTATATACCGAGGAGTGGAATATATACCCATAGAGACATACCCCAGTACATACCTGGGACCAATGGTAACTCCTCTGTTTAACTTTTGGAAGAAGATCCGGGCTGTTTTCAAAGTGACTCCCATTTTACATTCCCCTCAGGAGATATGGGGGGTTCTGATTTTCTTCCACGTCCTCACCAACACTTGTTACCATGTAGACTTCTGATTATGGCCATTCTACGGGGGATGAAGTGGTACTTCATCTCATTGTGGGTTTGGTTTGCTTTTCCTTGATAAATAATAATGTTGAGCATTATTTTATGTGTTCATTGGCCATTGTGTATTTATTTTGAGAAATGACTGTTCAGATCTTTTGCCTGCTTTTGATTGGGTTGTCTTTTTATTATTGAGTTATAAAAGTACTTCATATATTCTACATAAAAGTCCTCTATCAGATATGATTTGCTCGGATTTTTTTCCCATTCTTTGGGTTGTCTTTTAAAGCACGAATGTGTTTAATTTTGATCAAGTCCAATTGATTTATTTTTTCTTTTGTTGCTTGTACTTTTGGTGTCATATATATAACCCCCTGGCCAAATTTGAGCTCATGAAGGTTTATCCCTGTGGTTTCTTCTAAGGGAATTATTGTTTTAGCTTTTAAGTGGAGGTTTTGATTCATTCTAAGTCAGTTTTTATATGGTCTGAGTTGAGGATGCAACTTCATTCTTTTGCATGTGGCTATCAGTTGTCCTAGATTTTGTTGGAAAGGCTATTTTTCCCCACTGAACAGTTTTGACACCCTTGTTGAAAATTAATTAGCCATAGATACACAGGTTTATTTCTGGATAGTGCTTCTAGTCCATTTATCTATATGTCCATCCTATTCTAGTACCACAGTGTCCTGATTACCTTGTTTCTTTGAAATATTTTTGTCATGAAATGCATATTCCAGAAATGCAAAATTATGTACCACTTTTATGTTATTAAAATAACTGTCAAGTTATATGCTCAATTTTCAAATTAGACTCTTTACTCCCACCTCGTAATAGAGCTAAGGCAAACATTATTCCTAATACATATTAATAAGATTTGGCATTTTAAGAAAAATATTCTTTTCATGTCTTTTTTTTTTTTTTTCTGCAGCAGTTTGATTTAGATAATCCAATCTTGCTTCTATTTCTAACAAATTCAGGAGCGTTCTCTGGGACCAACCATGACCACATGGGGAAGTGGAGATGTTTACAGTTGGAATCCACATCTAAATATATCTGCATGGCAGGGTTTCAGGAGGAGGTTTGTTTGAAAATCTAATGAAAGAGCGAAAGGTGGTTTGGGAAAGGCCCTTGTCTATCAAGCCCTCACCCAGTGAAGGCGCCCTGCCCTTTTAGTTTGCATGATTGACAGCGGAAAGACCTGGAGTCAGGTCAGAAGAAGACAGCCCATGATTGTGTGTCTTATTCTGGTCTTTGTAGACTTATTCAAGAAAAGAAAATAATAATAGCTGAATGCAGTGACAAACAAAAGTCAGCCGTTTCTCCCTTGGTAACTGTCAGGGAAACAATAGATGTACCTCGAGACAGTGTAAATAATCTGCTGACTGTGCTGTGGAAGAAAGCTACATACGGTCTGCGATGATCCTATGTGACCCTAATAGAACCTCACTAGATGTGGGTCTAGAAGGCTTGTGTTGCACTCAGTTCTTCATCTTCAAATCTGGAATTGTAGCTCAGTCCATTAAAATAATTAAGAGGTTCTGAATCTTAGTTAGCAGCTAGGATGTTCCCCTCAGGGTGTAAGCTCATTCATTCATTCATCCCATCGCCCCTGGAGGAAAGGCTGGGCACCAAAACTAGACCAAAACTATGGATGGGATGGGATCAAGGGGCGCGGATGAATCAGGAGGGAAAAGAAGGGGAGACATCCCAGTCATCCCCTCCATTTCTGCACGTCGTTTTCGTTCCCACAGTGAAGTGGGTAAAGGAACAATGTGGGATCAGGAGATCTGCATGTCATGTAGGTCACACGGTTCATGCTGTACTGAAGATGCTCCTTTTTTTTTTTAAGATTTATTTGAGAGCGCACGCGTACATGAGGGGGTAGGGTGGGTGCGTATGATGGGGAGGGAGAGGGAGAGGAAGAATCTCGAGCGGTCTGTACACCCAGTGCGGAGCCTGATGTTGGCTCGATCTCAGATCTCCCCCTGAGACCATGACCCGAGCTGAAATCATGTATCAGGTGCTTAACCCACTGAGCCACCCAGGCACCCTGAAGGTGTTCCTTTTTTAGTAAGATATTCTCATAATTAAATCATAGCTTACTTTATTTAAAAGCATAAATCTTAAATACATCCCTCATTTTATCCCAAATTTAGGTAACAGATACTTGAATTTTAATATTAACCGCAATAAGACACAGATTTATTTATCGTAATATTAGGAAAAATATGGAAAGAACAAGTAAATTGATGAATGTTTGATCAGACACGAAGTTACATTGGAGATATTTTTATTTATTTACTACTATTTGTAGTTTTCCTCGACTTTGCAGCTTGCTTTGCTTGGGAAGGAATGAAAAGCTCAATGTTTGGCCCGAATTTGCTCGTGTTTTTACAACGAACTGGACAAGTATCTTTGACAGTTTGTATCCATCTGCCTTTTTTTTTTTTTTTTTTTTTTTACCCTAGTTTTCTTTCTCTTTGGTTACAGGCCAAGCAGGAAAAGAGGACTCTCGCCACCACATTTCGAAGGGAGTCCACCGCCAGAACTTTGGTTCCTTATTTGGACAAACATTTCTCCAAGGTAAATACTACCATTGTTCAATAAGGGGGCCCCCTCATTAGAATTTTCAGGGCGCAGTGGTGCCGCACACAGGCTTGATTGTTGCGTCTGACAAGCCTCGAGTGCCGCGAGGGAGGGAGGGGAGAAGTGAGGGGAGCCGAGGGGATATCCCGGAGAACGGAGAACGCGCTCAGAATCCGGGAGCTCTCGGAGTCACACTACACGTGTGTGGGAGGAGGGGAGGCAAGGGGAGGCAGTGCTTTTTTCTTCACGTTAGTCTCTCTCTCTGGCGTTCATGAAAACAGCAGCCAGTGTGGTTTGATGATAAAAATAGCATTTTTTTGTCTTCTCTGGGAAAAGCGTGGTGCAGTCCTTCCTAGAAGTTACAATCCAATATATACTATATTCATGTCACAAAGTGAAAGAAAACGGAGTCATAATACTTTATACCAACTAAGACTTACAGATGTGGAAGATTTTATAGAAATCCATGTGCTCCTTTCATGAAAATTACCTACTAAGTAAGGCTGTGGGTGGTTGGTGACAGGGACTTCCCATCCTTAATGCCTCTTCTTGGGGGAGGAGAGGGCATCCGTGGGGAAGAGAGAATGGGAATATGAGAGAGAGAAGGAGAGAGAGACGTCAAAGAGGAGTCTGTCAGCACATACTCTATGTTTCAGAGGAGTAACTCCGGGCGCTTTCTTTATGAATCATGAGCTTAGCGGGAATAAAGGCTTAACAGAAGCAGCTGAATTCATCGTCGGCTTTAGCATTCATGAATTGGCTGCCAGTATTTTAACACAAATTGCTGTGTCATTTCTGTGAAGTTTCTCCCCTGTTGCTGCTCAGTCTGTAGCCAAAAGCTGTTTTTGCTAAGCCCTGAAATTCGATCTGATAAAACGCCTCCTTCCTTCCTGATAAAGATACCCATGTTCACCACCCACAGAAATGCAAAAATATACGATCCAATTTAAAAGAAAATAAACTTGTCAGCTTTCTCTGTTTAGCAGTTAATATATGGCCGACATTCCTCAGTCCTTAGCTCGCCAGAATGTGCTTTCAGATTGGCAAGGGGCGAGTAATGGGTTCCTCGTCGTCAGTCCTCGTCCTGGTGGTTCTTTTCGGAAGGGGCTGGGTGGGGGGAATGGAAGCTGTACATTAGAGGAGAATTCTGTGATACTATTCATTGTCTGTTCTGACAGAGAAGACATTGTTCACTGTAATAGGCTGGCAGGAATCTGTGCTGTGCATACAGAATGGGGGAAACAGCACTGGAGAATATCAAAATCCAAAGCAATAGATTAGCTTAGAGATTTTTTAAAAATATATATTTTAATAGCTTCTCATTACTGTAGATGCAAGTCATAATTTAAGGAAATAGTTTTTCTGCAAGTGACCGTTTTCTTCACCTTTCATTATGCGTGTATTACATAAAAAAAGGCTTTAAGACAGCAGTGTGCCTATTTAAATACCGTGGTAATAAGAATTACAATCATGAAGTTTATAAACACACACCAGACCTGCTTGGAGATGGCTCCCTATGCCTTAGCATTCACGTCCGTGTAAGTGAAAAACAACCCCAGCACCCGCTCTGGTGATGCACGGAAGCCAGTGTGAGCTGCCTAAGGTGAGAGAGAAAAGACACATTAAATGATGTGTTTGGAGGTAAGAAGTCCACTGCCAGGGACAGTGCGAGAGCGTGCCATGCCCCACACGTCCACAACCTTAAAGTCAACGACTATCAAAGTGAAGGTGGAAAGCAGTGTGCAAACCCTGCCTTGGAAACTGAGAGCGAAAAGAGATCTTGTCAGGCTGCGGGCTGCTATGTTCACAGAGCACATGAGCTAGACCAGGGGAGCTCCAAGAGCAGGTGTGCTGGGGCCATTCCCAGCCAAGTTCAAGGGCCCCTCGTCCTTGTGCTCCAAGAGAGATTTCTCATATTCCTCAGGCTTGGCTTGTATTTATCAGAACTGCCTGTATAATTTTATAAGAACGATATCCTATAAATTACAACATTTCTAAAATTACAGCTGTGATGATGTCGGTGCACAGTCAGTCATTAAATGATTGCAAACCCTGCTTGGATTTTTATGTAACCTATAGAAAGATCCGTCTTAGATGCCTAAAGCAAATCTTTTCCTCTGCTACTTATGACATTGTTCAGGTACATTATCTGCTTGGTTTTTAAATTTATTAGTCTTTTAAAATGTGTTTGGCAATCTTTTTAAAAATGTGTTTGTAGAACCTCTTAAAAATATGTAAATATATATGATGGTATTTTCAAGGAAATACCAAAGGAACCAAGTACAATTAACCAAGATGTTACAAAACTGTTTCCCTTTATTGCTTCAGTATATTGGCACATTTATTTTTGTCTATTTTTAAAGTGGTTTTTATTTTATCATTTTTAACAACCACATTAAGGGCTAGTAAGGGAGATAAGGCCGGTCCCAACTGCTCCTGCAGGAGTCCCTTGGAGGCGCTGCGGCAGGAGGGTGGGGGACAGAGGAGCCTCAGAAGACAGTTTGCGGGATAACTGCTGGTCCATCTGTGACCCGGTGGCCACACCTACTGTCCTGTCTTCCTGTCCTTCTGCTGCTGGAACCCCTGGTAACCACCGTTCTGGAGCCCTGATCATTAGCTTGTACCAGTGACCTGGTCCCGCAGAGCCTGGCCCTCAGCCTGCCGCAAAGCTGTGGGAGCTCGCAGGCTTTCAAAGCCCATGTGTGCGGCCTCCAGAGGCAGGATCATAGCTCGGTCTGGCTTCCTTCACATCCTCGTCACTAGGGGACAAGGAGTATCCTGGTCTTAAAATGAGGAGTTGCAAAGGGCTTGTTTCACCTGTGACAGCTCATCCTTGTCTGTTGGGAAAGGAAGCATATACCAGTGGGGGGACATTGGAGTACACGCTTAACGACACTATTTTATTCAGCAAACACTTAAACTACACTTACTGTGGGGCAAGCAGAAGTCTAAGCTCTTTGCAAATACTAACTCATTTAATCCTCTGCTTTCATTATTATTATTCACATTTTACTGAAGAAGAAACTGCAGCTCAGATAGGGTGAGTGACTTGCCCGGGGATCCACAGGTGGTGAGGGCGGATGGCATGTGCCTGGGCGGGTCTGCTCCAGAGTCCAGGCATGAGGGCTTTGCGCTCCCCAGTCGCAGGTACCTCCTATACCAACAGCAGGGTTTGCTTCATGGTCCTGTCCCTTTGGGGTCTGCCATCTCTGCAGAAGTGCACACAGTGTGTTACATTGCGGGGTTTTGAACTGTACACCTCTTGCCTCTTGGCCTTTACAAGGGGGAAGAAGAATTTTTTTTTTAAAGATTTTATTTATTTACTTGACAGAGATCACAAGTAGGCAGAGAGGCAGGCAGAGAGAGAGGAGGAAGCAGGCTCCCTGCTGAGCAGAGAGCTCGATGTGGGGCTCGATCCCAGGACCCGGGATCATGACCCGAGCTGAAGGCAGAGGCTTTAACCCACTGAGCCACCCAGGCGCCCGGAAGAAGAATTTTTAATTTCTGTCCTTGTAGATTCAGAGTGGGTACAGGTTTGTGCTCTATGGTCAAGCCAGGGTTCCAGGCACTGCAGCGCCTGGCTGTCAGGGGGAGCTGTACCCCACAGCGGGCCTGCAGACAACCTCCCCAGCTGTGCTGGGAGAAAGGCCAAGGGCCATGCTCTCCCTCTTCCTCAACACCTCTTTCACCGAGTCCTGGATCTTTTAATGTGCTCCAGCCCCGAGGCCAGCAGTGCTGGACTTGCCATTACTAAGAGCAGCCACTGTTCAAGCCGATATTTCAATAAGATGGATGTTTGACAATTCTCTCTGACCTGCTGTGAGGACTTCGCTGCCTTTAGGAGGTGTTGCCTGACCCCAGTATTTCCCAGAGAGTTGTGTTAATGGGTGCAGCTCCCTTCCACCACTCCGGAAAGAAAAGAAAGAGGGTTTTATTAATGATCAGCTATGTTTGAAAGATGTGGATTAAATGAAATTAAATTGATGTATGTATTGCAGGTTTCTCCAAATTCTCTTGTGACTCTCCACAGCAAGATAAGGAGTGCAGAATTTCCTAAATGTTTTATTCTGCCAGGTGGGGAGAAACGTCTGGCAACACCCCTTTGAGCAGAGCTGCCTTAAGAAAAGGAGAGACAGGGCGCCTGGGTGGCTCAGTGGGTTAAGCCTCTGCCTTCGGCTCAGGTCATGATCTCAGGGTCCTGGGATTGAGTCCCGCATCGGGCTCTCTGCTCTGCAGGGAGCCTGCTTCCTCCTCTCTCTCTCTGCCTGCCTCTCTGCCTACTTGTGATCTGTCTGTCAAATAAATAAAAGAAAAAAAAAATTAAAAAAAAAAGAAAAAAAAAAAAGAAAAGGAGAGACAACAGAACAGGTCATAGAAGGTAGTAAGGTATTGAGGTAAGATCAGTCAGCTACATTTGGGATTCCTAACTTTCACTCCATCTTAAAACCAGTCGTCACTGGGACCTCAGCGCGTCAGATTTCTTATCCGTAAAATATGGAGGATAGAACTGGATTATCTCTAAGCTATTTTCATCTTTGTGAAAAGCTGGCAATTGTTTGTTTCCTACCTGGCTCCAGAAGGACTTTTAAGAATAAGGCACAATATAGAATGCATTAAGACAGAGTAAATTAAAAACAGGTGGGGGTAAAATGAGGCATAGGGACTAGAAGGTAGGAAAGACAGGAAGGAAGGAGGTTAGTATGCAGAATGAATTCTGTGAAATCCTTCATGGCGGATATGAAAGAAACAAGTTTTGTTCAGTGCTTTTTTTTTTTAAGATTTTATTTATTTGACAAACAAAACACAAGTAGGCAGAGAGGCAGGCAGAGAGAGAGAGAGAGGAGGAAGCAGGCTCCCCGCTGAGCAGAGAGCCCAATGCAGGACTCGATCCCAGGACCCTCAGGAACATGTCCTGAGCTGAAGGCAGAGGCTCCTTTTTCAGTGCTTTTTGATGAACTGAAGGCAGGTGCTCCTTGTTCAGTGCTTTTTGATGAACA